ATATAAAAGTTAAAGTATAAATAATTTGGTTTCACGCAGACTGATCAGTCAGCAAATCATAGACCAGCAATGGCGGCTTCACCCCAAGCCATGTATACGATTTACATTTGCAATCTTAACTTCTCTTCAATACGGAACTCATTCAAAAGAAAAACAAACTAAAAAAAAAAAAAAATTTCTGTAATATTCAAAGCAGGCGTCATATTGAATTAAAGCCATACTCATGTAATATTATCTAAGCGCTGAAACATATGCTTGCAATTAGTCTCTTTTTGTAGAATATCGCTCTGCCTCGCCAATTCCTAGAGGCCAAAATCTAAAACGGGTTTTTATTTAGGTTCTCAGGTTTCCGTCCTTTTGATTTTTGGTTTCGCTTTGATTTGTGCCAGAACAGATGATAATTTGGAATCTATCGCGTGGCTAATGGGAGACGGGGTCTTAAGTATGGAGAACGAAGCAAAGAAAGGGTGAATACATGGCCCAACACTGTCAAAGTATCAAGTATCTGAACTTGTGTTGTCAACTATCACCCTCTAAAAGAGCAGCGCTCACTTATAACAACTAGAGGAAATTAGAGGAACTAGAGGAAATTATTTTCTTCAAGGAAAACTATAATGGTTTTGAATTTTTTTTTTTTTAATTTTTAAACTGATGCTTTATATGTTTTATATTAATTAGTGGTGCACCGAAATGAAAATTCAAGATTATGGAACGATTGGATACTAACATTTATAGATAACATTGATCCAGGGAATATCTGATTGCCTCTCGGGAGATCAGGAAGGAATTATATTTCCCAGCAGGAGCAAATTGGATCATCCTTTGCTGGGTTTTTTGCCTTCCTCTGGATTAACTGTGGGTATAGGATTATAACTTTTTTTTTTTTTAACAGGATGGACTTTTGTCTTTTTTCAGCCAGACTAATGCGGGCCATAGACTTGCGATAAAGTGGCCGCATTTTCGGCCGATATTCGGATCGTTAGTGGGGAAATTTGTCGGCCATTTTGCGTGATTTTGAGACTTTTAAAAAATCGCCCCTGCTGGAAAATCGGCGACTGATTTTGTCGTTCGGCCGATTTTCGCGGCAATTATGGACAAATCGGCCGACCTTTTTGCTGATTTAAAAAAAAAAGGATTTGAGGAAAAAGAAGAAATAGAATATCAAGAAGAATATGAATAAGAAGAAAAAGAAATAGAATATGAGTGAAAAGAAGAAATAGAATATCAAGAAGAAAAGAAATAGAATATCAAGAAGAAAAAGAAATAAAATATCAAGACGAAGAAGAAATAGAATATGAATAAAAAGAAAAATAGAATATAGAGAAGAAAAAAAATAGAAAATCAGTCCGATATTATATTTGACCTTTAAAAGTATAGCAACATTGTATCTATTTTGTATCCAAATAGAAACATCTGTATCTGAAATGAATACAAATAGATACAATGTTGCACCTTTTTCTTCTTCTTCTGCATATTCTATTTCTTCTATTTATTCATATTCTATTTCTTCTTCTTCTGCATATTCTATTTCTTTTTATTCGTATTCTATTTCTTCTTCTTCATATTCTATTTCTTCTACTTCTTCTGCATATATTCTATATAATTGTCGGCCGTAGACGGGACAAAAATCAGCCGACCTTTTTTACCAATATTGTTAATTTCGGCTGATTGAACGACCGATTTTTTTTTTTTTTTTTTTAAAAATGGCCGGTTTTCACCCGTCTATGGCCTGCTTTAATCGCTTTTATCTGCAGCCATTATCGGCACTTTTTTCCTGTTGGCAAAATACCGATAACACTATTTTCAATTGAAACATTTCGGCCGCAGATATATCAGTGCATCCCTAAGATTAATATTTTATTAATTTCAATTAATATTTAATAATCAATTAAGACTAAATTATTTCATATTTAAAGTAGAACTAAACTCTCTCAATCAACACAAACTATTTTAATCCTTATACTGCTAGCATTATTAAATAAATAGGAATAAATATAATTTAATATTTGCTCTAGTTTTAATTTGTTTTATTTTTTATTTTTTTGCTATGCAGAGCCATACAAAGCAGTGTGCAGGAACTGACAGGAGAGAGATCTGTGTTGTTTATGCACAGGTCTCTCCTCCATCGGAGATACTCTGCGATCACCGGGTGCCGACTACAAAATCACTTGCTGGGACCCGGAGATTGACAGTCGAGGCCCCGAGTTCCCTTACCCGGAAATGAAAATCACGTATATATACGTGATTTTGCGCACCCGTGTCCCTGTAGCAGTATTTCTGCTATAGGCTGGTGCGGAAGCGGTTAAAATCTTTTGTGGACAGCAGAGGGTGCCAAAAAAGCAAACCTTTTGTTTCTAATTAAAACTTGGTAAGAAGCCACAGAAAACAGTAGGAGGAGGTGGAGTAGGGGGAAGAGGTAAGTGCTCTCTGGCTTATTCACTTGTGTGTATACATTTCATCTTGAGCTACTTAGCTCTGTAGATAAAAGGCTTATTTTTTAACTAAAGTTGATAGCAATGGACATCAATAGCCGCACGATTACTTTCACGGGGCTCGCAATGTGCCATATCCCATGATTCCAGCACTCTCTCTCTCCTCTTGGAAGCCCATAATCATGATAAACACTTCCAGGATGGCAAGTGATAGGACACCAAGGAAGGTTTGTTCCCTGATATCCTCTGCAGAGTGTGAACCTGGAAGCGCTCAGCTCTGACACTTCCGAGTTCAAAGCTGGCCACAAAACCAGGTTAACAACAGATCAAGCACAGTCTGTGCTTGAGTGGTTGGAGCAGAGGGGACATTAGGGGTTTAACACACCCCTGATGTCTTCACAAAGAGTACCTAACCCCTGCCTACTGTCATCACATAAGGGCCTTAATAGCTGCCTTGTGATAGCAGAAAAGTTAAGTAAAAAAAGAATAAACAAATTTTAAATATAAAATAAATTTAAAAAAAATCTAAAAACCACTATTGCCTCATGCACTCACATACTAATTGAAATGTGCACGTGCATGTCAACTATTGTGCAAGATATCCAGTATTAGGTATTGCAATGCACGCTAGAATGAGATAAACTCTAAACTGATCAGCTGTAAAGGAATGGAAAGTATTATGTATTGATAACTTTGGGTAAAGTAACTTTTTTGCTGTGTCGCAGGCCTGACATTATTGGTATTTGGTATTTATTTACCCAACACAACCTCATTTTTCATCTGGGGGTTATATTGTGTTGTGTGCACTGAAATTCATTTAAATGCATTTTTTAAACTGAAAATTTAGATCTGATAAGCAGTTGTAAAATTATTATGGGTCATAAAAAAAATGCAACTACCATCTTTTTATTCTAAATTGTCTCTGCGTTCACAAATGTTATGTTTTGTGGTTTTAAATATCTCTTTAGCTAAAAATGTAAATTTTAACACATGTGCAAAGTGGTTCTAAATGCAGAAGATTTTTTACCTTAAGGCATTCTATGCACTAACTACTAAGCAACTCATTCACTCCCTTGTTATCTCTCGCCTTGACTATTGTAACTCCCTCCTCACTGGCCTACCTCATCGCAGGCTATCCCCTCTTCAGTCTATCATGAATTCTGCTGCCAGACTCATCCACCTTACTAACCGTTCTGTATCTGCCACCCCTCTCTGCCAATCCCTCCACTGGCTTCCCATTGCCCAACGGATAAAATTCAAAACATTAACAATAACATATAAAGCTATCTATAACTCTGCCCCAAATTACATCACCAATCTTGTCTCCAAATATCACCCAAACTATCCTCTCTGCTCCTCCCACGACCTCCTGCTCTCTGGCTCCCTTGTCTCCTCCTCCCATGCTCGTCTCCAGGACTTCTCCAGAGCCTCCTCCATCCTCTAGAACTCTTTACCCCAATTTATCAGACTATCACGACTCTACTCACTTTTAGGCAATCTCAGAAAACCTATCTCTTCAGGGAAGCCTATCCTGCCCTCAGCTAATAATGGAATCTTCTATTCCTCCTATCAGTCCATCCCCCACAGTTATTACCTTTTGTATTACTAACCCCTCCCTCTTAGATTGTAAGCTCCAAGGAGCAGGGCCCTCCTAATCCTCTTGTATTGAACTGTATTGTTGCTGTATTGTCTCCCGTTATATTGTAAAGCGCTGAGCAAACTGTTGGCGCTATATAAATCCTGTATAATAATAAAGTAGTTCTAAAGCTTTGTTTTTTTTAAATTAAAATCATAAACATGTTATACTTACCTGCACTGGTTTTGCACAGTGTAGCCCCGGTCCTCCTCTTCTTGAGTCCCCTTCCGGCATCCTGGCTCCTCTTCTTCATACAGTGCCCCATAGGAAGACGCTTCCTATGGGGGCACTCGTGCGGGCTTGCTCCTAAGCCCTGTTGCCTGTGTCCATAGACATAGACAGCCCCCGCCATTACAGAGTTTTCTGACAGCAGCAGGAGCGATCTGCCCAGTGAGGAGGGAGAGAGCTGGGAGAGCATCTGCTCTCATGCACAACGTTGGATGGTGATGGAACTCAGGTAAGTATAATGAGGGGGATCCCAAGCACAGAAGGTTTTTTACCCTAATGCACAGAATGCATTAAGGTAAAAAGCCTTAAAGCGGTAGCAAACCGCAAAAATTAAACAAAAAAAATGTTCTCCATGCAAATTAAGAACATGATGTGCTAGCATATTATGAAAGACTTACTTGAAAACTAAATCCTCCAGCGGAGCATTGTCTCAGCTCCCCAGGGCTTCCATCTTCGCCCATTCTTCCTTTCGGGTTCGCAGGCTGAGGCCATTAGACTGGCCCAGCCGCGATGGCGTCACTCCTGCAAATGCGCATGGGAGCTTCCACCGCGGCACGGCTCTCTCAAGGGACAGCGCGCCATCCATTGAGAACGCAGTGCACATGCAACGGTGACATCACTGGTGCTGCTAAAGTAAATATCTCTTAACCCAGGGCTTCAAATTTCAAGTCCTGAGCTACTAGCCAGGCCTTAGAGTTACTTGCCACCAACAAACACACACAGAGACACCTGTACACACACACAGACATGTACATACACACACACATACACACACAGAAACATATACACACACGCACAGAGACACATGTACACACATACAGACACACGTATACACACACAGGCATGTAAAGACATGCATACACACAGATACATGTACATACACAGAAATACACACGCACAGACACATGTACATTATTATTATTATAATGCAGTATTTATAAAGTGCCAACAGTTCGCTCAGCGCAAGTACATTACAATGGGAGACAGAACATGCGACAGAACAATAACAATACAATGTGATACACGAGGGGTTTACACACACATACACATGTACACACAGACACATGTACGTACATAGACACATGTACATGCACACAAAGACACACATGTACATACACACATACATGTACATACACACAGACACATGTACAATTGTACAAGCATACACAGACACACACACACATGTACACGTACACACACACGTACACACGTACACACACACACACCACCCCAATAAAAAGTTGCAGTACTTCGTTGTTCACTCACAGAGCTGGGTACTGCACTCTAGGGGGAGGCAGAGAGCACAGCACACACTCCTTCCTTTGCTTTCACTTCGCACAGCTATTGAGCAGTCTGACGGCTCCCAGTGCCAATAGCAGATCTGGCCTGAGCTCCAAGCCTGCTCAGCAAGATGGCCCTGGGATGCACACTCGCCCTCACCATAATTTCCACTCGCCATTGGCGAACAGGCGAGTGGAAATTTCAAACCCTGGCCTAACCTGTGCACGTTAAGGTGATATTTACTGTACCTACAGGTAAGTCTTAATATAGAGAAGAGGAGGATCAGGGCTGCTCTGTGCAAAACCATTACATAGGGCAAGTACACACAACATGTTTGTTATTAAAGAAAAAAAAAAAAATTCCCTTAGCAATCACTTTAAAGAATCTATGCACTTTCCGACAAATTATGTGACAAAGCAGGCTGGGTGCCATGTCTCTGCTGAGTGTAGCGGCAGATTTGTTACACCAAAGACTTTAAAATGAAAAAAAACTAGAAGGAAAACTTTTTAAAATTGAACTAAATATTATGGTATAAGTCAATAACTTGCTGACGGGGTTCAAAGTGAAAAATGATCAAAGTGAGAATTTTGGGAATAAAAGGTTTTTTTTCACTCTTTGTTAACATCAAAGTATGCATTTCTGAACATCAAAGTGAGAGTGAAAACAAACCTACAGTAAACATAATACTTTTCAATAATCATCATCAATCACAGAGATTATTTTCTTCAACATTTCTAAAAAAAAAAGGCTTCAGTCTGTTGCTTGATTTTGATCCAAGCCCAATCTATTACATAAATTAAATGTAAAGTTTTTTATTCAATATAAGTGTTGGGTCTGGCCTGGGGTTGACCTGGTAGAAAACTGAAGAAGGTTTGTCATTTTTGAGGCTCAGTTCACAATATTGTGGGCCATGCAGCCAACATTTACGGCAGTCTTTCTATTTGAATGGAATGCTATGCCAGTGTTTCTGCACAAAACGTTGCATGCATGAAAACGCAAAACGAACCCACAATCGCACTGTGGGCTAAGAATGAATGAATAGCAGCCCCGTGTGTCTCGCAAGAGCAATGCGATTGAGCTACAGGTGGTTGCGGGTGCAATTCTGCAGTAAGAACGTAGCCTTAAACTTTTATTTCTCTTTAAAGCGATTCTAAAGGTTCATTTTTTTTTTGTAAAATAACAAACATGTCTATACTTACCAGCTGTGTGCAGTGGTTTTGCACAGAGTAGCCCGGATCCTCCTCTTCTCGGGTCCCCCACAGGTTCTCCTGGCTCACCCTGTCTGTTGGGTGCCCCCACAGCAAGCAGCTTGCTATGGGGCACCCGCGTGTCCATCCTTGGCCCCCCCCCTCTCTCTCCTCATTGGCTGACTGCCTGTGATTGACAGCAGCGACAGCCAATGGCTCCCGCTTGCTGTCTCAGTCAATCAGGAAGCAGAGACATGGGGCAGCCGAGGCTGTCATTCACATTGCTGGGTCGTGAAGAGGCTCAGGTAAGTATTGAGGGGGCTGGGGGCGCTGCTACACACAAAAGTTTTTTTTTTTACCTTCATGCATAGAATACATGAAGGTAAAAAACCTTCAGCCTGTGCAACCACTTTAAGTCCAATGGGCAGCCAGGGAAGTGGTAAAAGCAGCTGGTTGAGTTGAGGATTTACTGCCCCCTCTGACAGCCCACCTAAACTAGCGCACACAGCTGCTCAGGGTTGTACACATGCTGCAGCAAAAATTAAATGGCCTGTCACATTCGGTGGTACTGTTGCTAAATGCGACCCATTCAAGTGAATGGGGGCACCTGGTTGTGGTATGGTAGGTCTGCATTTTGACAGCTGAAACAGGCAACATATCAGTAAAATTCTCAATAGTCCCATGTGTGCATTAACTCTTAGGGGCCTTTAGGATCGCTCTTCGGAGAGCATTTGACTGGGGGTGAGGAGGGGTTTTATCGCCTCCTCACCACCTGCTTTAACCCCTTGATCGCTGCAGAGCGGCCCAATCCGCTTAAAGGGGTTGCATTTGGCAAGTGCTGCGCCCACCAAGAAAAAGAGGGGGTATAATTCTTGCCATGACATGTCTCTGCGGCTAAAGAGGGTAGCAGTTAGGTGATGGCAAAAGCGCAGCTCAACTGCGGGGAGCACCAACTGCACTTCAGCCCAACCGCAGGGGGGCCCCAAGAGGGGCACCATTGTTGGGCTGTGCTTAGGGCATCACTTCCCTTTAGTCTGACCCTGCACTGCAGACATACAGCTATGGTCCTGTAGGCAAAGGAATGCCTAGACACATTCATAAGGGCAGCACAGTGGCTAAATGGTTAGCACTTCCGCTTGGCAGTACTTTGGGTCGTTGGTTTGGATCCCAGCCACGGCACCTCCTGCCTGGAGTTTGCATGTTCTCCCTGTGCCTGCGTGGGTTTCCTCTGGCTACTCCGGTTTCCTCCCACACTCCAAAGACATGCTGGTAGGTGAATTGGCTCCTGTCTAAATTGGCCCTAGTATGTGTATGTATGAATGTGAGTTAGGGACCTTAGATTGTACACCCCTTGAGGGTTATGGACTGATGTGAATGTACAACATATATGTAAAGCGCTGCGTAAATTGACAGCGCTATATAAGTACCTGAAATAAATAAATAAAAATACATAAAAAATAAGCCAGGAAAAGCACCTATACAAGTCAATAAGTCAATGGGAGTGCAAAAGCAGCTTGATGCAGCTTGGAGAATGCATGCTGTATAGTGTGAACGAAACCTAACACTTTTCAAACCGCATGCATTCCTTCTCCCAAACAGAAAATCCTTTATTTTTCCTCAAACCGTATTCCTTTTTTTTTTTTTTTTTTTTTACTATTTTTCTGGGTAAATAATAAGCACATTTTTTTCTTTTTCTTTTGCAAAGGTTAGCTTGAATTTGTAGCTTGCTTCAGATTTGTGTTTTTCAAAAAAACAAACAAAAAAAAGATCCTTTGTGCTGCATATTGTGGCTTAAAAGACAAACAGCCACTATACCGGGTGCGTTGGCATGTAAAAAAAAAAACATCTAAATAAAACATAAGCCTAAATCAAATGGTATTAGCGCTGCAAAAATAAATGAGCGGCGGCAGTTTGTCCCACGTCTGAGGCTCGGAGAGGGATATTTACGGCCTCAATATAAAAATAACACTTCCACACCATAACACATTGCACATCCCACAGCCTTTAACCGCTTCGCTCCCAAATTTCCTATGGCAGCCCACTTTAATCAATGACAGAGCCAGACCCCAGGCTGGAGCTCTTCCTGTCTCTGTTAGGTTTCTCTTGTTTAATGAAAAAAAAAAAAAAAACATTTTTTTTATTTTTTATTTTTTTTTAGGCTGGGCTGCACTATTAAGGGTCCTACAGGTCAAAATGGATTCTCTCCCGGAGCCCAGGCCCGACGAGGGTTGCCGCAGCAACGCGAGTCACGTGAACATAAGAAAACAATGGTTTTAATGCTAGAAAAACAAATAAAAAAAAAAAAAGCAAAAGCAGGAAGTTTGCAAAGTAGATACCGGGGCTGCTATGGAGAAAATCTGCCTGAAAATGTGTTATGGAAGAACAAGGCGTATTTTGTATAGATTGTGGTAAAAATAGGAACATGAAAAGCGACGATCGGCTCGACAAATGCTTAAAGCGACTGTGTCTATAAAAAAAAAAAAAAGCAAAATTTTAAATAAAAACTGCAAAAAATATATTAAAAATACTTACTAGTCCCACTGCTCCTGAGGGCTCCTTCACACCATGTATGTTGAGCTGCATAAATCAACACGAGGACATATAGGAAACAACTGCTTCCTATGTGTCTTGTTCACAGCACAACACTGCATTGAGGAGCACGCATGTCTGCATGTTCATCCCGCACAACGCACGGCGTCACAACACATATCGAGGTTTTCTGTTCATCTAAATTTGTCTATTGGTTGAACTAGATGGACTTATGTGGTTTTAAACCCTGCGACACTTTAATAAAGTTGAAAAAAAAAAAAAAAGAAACAATGTGATACGTTGTAAAAACCCATTGCACTGCCCTAGAAAAAAAACACACCAGTGCACATGTTAGAGCATGCAGACTGGTCTGAAGCACTCCAATCTCTACTCTCTTGTACAGTTGGACGGGCTTGAAGCAGCCTTTCTCAACAATTTCGCCAAAGAAATGGTAGTAGATGCTAAAATTATTTCAATGGTGGTCATTGGGAAGAATGCCCCTTACATTGGTGGTCATTGGGGAAAATGCCGCTTACATTAGTAGTCTTTGGGAAGAATGCTGCTTGCATTGCTAGTCAGTGGGAAGAATGCACTTTACATTGGTGGTCATTGGGAAGAATGCCCCTTACATTGGTGGTCAGTGAGAAGAATGCCCTTTACATTGGTGGTCATTGGGAAGAATGCCCCTTACATTGGTGGTCAGTGAAAAGAATGCTCCTTACATTGGTGGTCAGTGAGAAGAATTCTCTTTACATTGGTGGTCATTGGGAAGAATGCTCCTTACATTGGTGGTCAGTAAGAATGCCCTTTACATTGGTGTTCATTGGGAAGAATGCTCCTTACATTGGTGGTCAGTGAGAAGAATGCCCTTTACATTGGTGGTCATTGGGAAGATTGCCCCTTATATTTGTGGTCAGTGGGAAGAATGCTCCTTACATTGGTGGTCAGTGGGAAGAATGTTCCTTACATTGGTGGTCAGTGGGAAGAATGTTCCTTACATTGGTGGTCAGTGAAAAGAATGCTCCTTACATTGGTGGTCAGTGGGAAGAATGTTCCTTACATTGGTGGTCAGTGGGAAGAATGTTCCTTACATTGGTGGTCAGTGAAAAGAATGCTCCTTACATTGGTGGTCAGTGGGAAGAATGCTCCTTACATTGGTGGTCAGTGGGAAGAATGCTCCTTACATTGGTGGTCAGTGGGAAGAATGTTCCTTACATTGGTGGTCAGTGGGAAGAATGTTCCTTACATTGGTGGTCAGTGAAAAGAATGTTCCTTACATTGGTGGTCAGTGGCAAGAATGCTCCTTACATTGGTGGTCAGTGGCAAGAATGCTCCTTACATTGGTGGTCAGTGGGAAGAACGCTTCTTACATTGGTGGTCATTGGGAAGAATGTGCCTTACATTGGTGGTCATTGGGAAGAACGCTTCTTACATTGGTAGTCCTTTGGAAGAATGCCTCTTACATTGGTGGTCATTGAGAAGAATGACCCTTACAAAGGTGGTTATTGGGAAAATTGTCCTTTACACTGTTGGCCAGTGGGGAAAAATTCCACCCTTAAATTGATGGTCAGCGGGAAGAATGCTTCATGCATTGGTGGTCAGTGGAAAGAATGTCCCTCTTACAATGGTGATCAGTACAAAGAATGCCCCCTTCACATTGACAGTCAATGAGAAGAATGCCCCACTTACACTGGTGGTCATTGGGAAGAATAAACCCCTTACATCATTAGTCAGTGGGAGGAATGCCTCTTACATTGGTAGTCAGTGGAGAGAATGTCCCTCTTACAGTGATAATCAAAATGCCCTCCTTACAGACAGCTAAAAAGATTGTTGTTGTCATGTTTCTAGCTCTGCCAAAGAGCACCAGACCCAGAACTATCCAGGTACCATCAGATGGGAGGTCAATCAGCCAGAGCTCAAGAAACCCCTAGACACCTCTGGAGGAGTGCTGGTTGAGAACTGTTGATCTAGAGAATTTTCAGCATCCAACCCTTCTGGGTTTGTCAGATTCCTGCGTCACCACCGGCACTGCATCACAAGTGCATCTACAGAGCTGCAAGGACACGCTGCGGATGTAGCGGTCAGTGAAATTATCGCGCCCAGTAGGAATGGCAAAAATCCAATATGCCCAGAAGCATGGGATGTTGAGGTTCCTAGCGGGTGTAGTTCAGCAAGAGAGTGAAGACTGGAGCAATGGGTGGTGGGCCAATTGGCAAAATGCACAGTACTAACACTAATAGCGGAAATATTTTGCTTGACAAAAGTTTAGTCCAGTAAGAACCAGGGGACGGACTGACCATTTGGAAACTCGGGCACTGCCCGAGGGCCTGGGGTCAGTAGAGGGCCCCATGAGATGCCCCTGGTACCTTTTTCATAGGCTTTTTTGAGTTTGGGCAAGGACACAGGGGCCCCATGATCCCCTATTGCCCGGGGGCCCCATGAGTTGTCAGTCCGCCCCTGGTAAGAACAGACTCGCTTACTAGTAGCTGGTTTGTGGTATGTCTGCGAAGTTTCTGGCCAAAAGTTTTTTAATCTGTGAGCCACTGCCCCTGCCTACCTGCTCTTTAACCTATGAGTTAACATCACCATAATGGTGGCTCCCACTTCCCCCTTGATTTGTTAGCTCACCCAACTTCTCGCCCTTTATCCCTTTTCTAATATTTCCACTGCAAGCCTAATTTCAGATTTAGGACAAGTTTGCACTCTTGTTTTTGCATGTTCCGCGTGGCGCATTTTTGACTGCATGTTCATTTCAACAGGCTACCAAACACATGGGAATTTGCAAAAGTACAACAGGCGAGACTTTTAAAATCACACCACACCAAACTGAGTGGTACTGCAGTATCATTCATTCCGGTGGCCACAAACGCGTGCACGTTTGGGGTGCCGTTGACAATTGATGATACTCATGTCTAAAGAGGGACGAACGCTCCCATGCTGTGCGGGAAACACGCACATAAACACTTTCCCGCACATGGTGTGAATTGGCCATCAATCTTGATTCTTACAGGGTGCACAGCCGTGGTCATCTACTTGTAAGGTGCAGGTGACCTCATTTGTGACAGCTCCAAAGGGCCACACATAATATATAGCATTAGTATAACAAAAGACTGTCAGAGACTTCAGACATACTAGAGGAGTAGAGGCAGAGACTGCATATCTGCAACAACAGTCACTGGAAGATCACATGAGATAGTGAGAGACAGGGCCTCTTTCAGCAGGATAATGTGCCCTGGCACATTGCAAAAATAGTTCAAGAATGGTTGGAGGAACTCAGCAATAAGTCTGAGGTGTTGACTTGGTCTCTCCAGATCTTAATCCAATCAAGCATCTGTGGGATGTGCTGGAAAACAAGCCTGAACCATGGAGGCCCCACCTGACAACTTACAGGACTTATTGGATCTGCTACTGATGGCTTAGTGTCAGACACCACAGCATAGCTTCATACGTCTAGTGGAGTCCATTCCTTGAAGGGTCAGGACTGTTTTGGCCGCAAAACAGGGACCTACTCAATACTGGGTGGGTAGTCATAAAGTTATGTATGGTCGGTGTATTTAAGAAAAATGGCTGACCTGCTCTATAAAGAGGACCTTTCATGAAAGAAAACGAAGCAGAAAAAAAAAACAGGCAGTAATTTACCACCCCACGTCATGTGTTTATACATGTGGCATACCTCCTATGTGTCCTTCCCTCTACGCATGCCTTTCAGATAACATGGCAGTTGTGGTGACATTGTCATGGGAAAAATGATCACTGCTAGATATCTGTTTTCTTATTGCTTCTCCATTTTTCATAGCAATCCGACATTAGCAATGCCAAGCCCATAATATCAGATAACAGAGAATTTATCTGCACTTTGTCTTTAATGCCAACTTTACACATCCATCTTGATTTTTTTGTGCCCTTTAGGTATAAATATATATATTTTATGAATATTATAGATATTTTTTTCATGAATACTAGAGGCTTTAGGAGAGAGAGAGAGAGAGAGAGAAATAAAATATATATACATATGTATTTCTTTTTTAAACTATAAATATATTTTTTATTAGTGCTCAATACTTAATTTTTTTTTAATACTATATATACTGTATTTTTTTTTATATAAGAACTTTAAATACTTTATACATTTTTTATGAACAATATCGATTTTTTTTTATAAGAGCGAGTAAGAAGGAGGGAGTAAGAGAGAGTATATTTACATGTGTAATTTCTTCAATTTTATACTGTATACTTTAGATTTATTTATTTTTTTACTAGTTTTTCGATATATAATTTTGTATATTTTTATATTAGCACTTTCAATACTTTATACATTTTTATTAATACTGTAGATTCATGATTTTTTTTAGTACTATTGATTCTTTTTTAGTAGTCCTATTGATACTTTATATATTTGTAATACTACAGATACTTTATATTTTTTTATTATTACTAATAATACTTTAAATATTTGTTTTTATAATTTTAGGATTCTGAAACTGAACATTACAAAACGTTAGTTTTGTTGGGTCTATTTTGGAGTTATTTTCAGAACAGATATACTATTTATTTATTTCAGGTACTTATATAGCGCCGTCAATTTACACATTCACATCAGTCCCTAACCCTCAAGGGGCGTACAATCTAAGGTCCCTAACTCACAGTCATACATACACATACTAGGGACAATTTAGACAGGAGCCAATTAACCTACCAGCATGTCTTTGGAGTGTGGGAGGAAACCGGGCTACCCGGAGGAAACCCACACAGGCACAGGGAGAACATGCAAACTCCAGGCAGGTGGTGCCATGGTTGGGATTCGAACCAGCAACCCGAGTACTGCCAGGCGGAAGTGCTAACCATTTAGCCACTGTGCTGCCCTATTATGCTGCTACTATTCTTATCATTTAGGTTTATTAGGTACAGCCGTGGCCAAAAGTTTTGAGAATGACACAAATATTAATTTTCACAAAGTCTGCTGCTTCAACTACAAGCATTTCATAAGTGTCAAAGGCTTTTATTAACAAATTACATGCAAGAGTCAATGTTTGCAGTATTCACCCTTCTTTATCAAGACCTCTGCAATTTGCCCTGGCATGCTGTCAATCAACTTCTGGGCCACATCCTGACTGATGGCAGACCATTCTTGCATAATCAATGCTTGGAGTTTGTCAGAATTTGTGTGGGGGGTTTTTTTTTGTTCATCCGCCTCTTGAGGATTGACCACAATTCAAATGGGATTAAGGTCTAGGGAGTATCCTGGCCATGGACCCAAAATTTTAATGTTTTGTTCCCCAAGCCACTTATTTATGATTTTTGCCTTATGGCAAGGTGCTCCATCATGCTGGAGGAGGCATTGTTCATCACCAGTTCTTGGATGGTTGGGAGAAGTTGCTCTCGGAGGATGTTTTTGGACCATTCTTTATTCATGGATGTGTTCTTAGGCAAAATTGTGAGTGAGCCCACTACCTTGGCTGAGAAGCGACCCCACACATGAATGGTCTCAGGATGCTTTACTGTTGGCATGACACAGGACTGATGGTAGCACACACCTTTTCTTCTCTGGACAAGGTTTTTTCCAGATGCCCCAAACAATCGAAAAGGGGCATCATCAGAGAAAATGACTTTACCCCAGTCCTCAGCAGTCCAATCCCTGTACCTTTTGCAGAATATTAGTCTGTCTCTGATGTTCTTCCCTAAAGAAAAGTGGTTTCTTTGCTGCCTTTCTTGACACCAGGCCATCCTCCAAAAGTCTTCGCCTCACTGTGCGTGCAGATGCATTCACACCTGTTTGCTGCCATTCCTGAGCAAACTCTGTACTGGTGGTGCCCCGATCCCACAGCTGAATCAACGTTAGAGACGGTCCTGGTGCTTGCTGGACTTTCTTAGGCGCCCTGAAGCCTTCTTTACAAAAATGTAACCTTTCTCCTTGAAGTTCTTGATGATCCGATAAATGGTTGATTTAGGTGCAATCTTACTAGCAGCAATATCCTTGTCTGAATTTTGTGCAAAGCAATGATGACTGTATGTTTCCTTGCAGGTAACCATGGTTAACAGAGGAAAAACATTGATTTCAAGCATCACCCTCCTTTTAAAGCTTCCAGTCTGTTATTCTAACTCAATCAGCATGACAGAGTGATCTCCAGCCTTGTCCTCGTCAACACTGACACCTGTGTTAGGCTAGGTTCACATATGTGCGGGTGGTGCGGCTGCGGATCGACACAAAAGTCTGTGCAGCCGCACGACCCACTCGCACAGAGGAATGCGGACCCTGTGGGCAGGTGCCAATAATTCTAATTTTCGCACTGGAAAACGCAACCGTACTGGGAACCGAGGTTCCTGTGCGGGCTGCGTTTTCAGAAGAAGTGCAGGGACTTCTTCCCTGCATGTCACGGGGCACGGGAGTCCATTCAAATGAATGGGCTCTTGTGCCCGCGCAAAACGCAGCCCGCACATATCTGAAATGGGGGGGTGAACGAGAGATTCACTGACATGATATCAGCTGGTCCTTTTGTGGCAGGGCTGAAATGCAGTGAAAATTTTTTGGGGGATTAAATTGATTTTCATTGCAAATCATCTGATCACTCTTCATAACATTCTGTAGTTATATGCAAATTGCCATCATAAAAACTGAGGCAGCAGACGTTGAGAAAATCAATATTTGTGCCATTCTCAAAACTTTTGGCCACGGCTGTATATGTATCTGAACAGGTCTGTTATACTACCTTTTGGTGAGAGCTATCACGTAATATTTAACACAAGTGCGGATATACTTTTTCATTTTATTATGTATATGGCATGTGTGTTTCTAGCTCTGCTCCATTAATATTA